TAATAAATCGTGATAATTATTTCACCAGCACGTGGAAGCGGTGCATCATATAAGACGCGTAGACAGGGGAAAGGATTGAGAAGCGGAAGAAGCGGAAAGCGGGGCCAAAATTTGCCGTTGTGACCAAATCATACAATAATTTCAACAAGCAACGAGCAACAGAACATGGCAGCACTTACATCTTATTGCTGCGTATAAATTTACTTTGGGTGTGGTGTGTGTGGGAGAGAGGGAGTTTCATTTGTTTGTATCTATCAATATATAAAGTACCGGGACGGCGAAATATCTCGAAAACTAAGCATTTCGGAAAAAAATGTTTCAGACCAAAGTATTGTATGATACAAGGGGAACATAAAACAACTATATCATTTTGTTTACAAATGGCACCACTTTCGAGATACTCACTGATCATCACTTTTCTTAAACCAATTTTACCCCCATCTTTCATTACATCGCCTTTTTCTACCAATTAATTTCAACAACTTTTGTCTGAAACATTTTTTTATTTGCATACTATTTTTTGAGATATTTGAAGAAAACTTTTTCAATATTTAACTTACGGTATCTGGTAACAAAAAATAGTACTAGATTTTTTTACTCTATTTAGTCTCAAGAATATATTGTTACAATAATGCCCTAAATTTTATTAACTTACCGACCTTTGGAAATTTCATAATCATCAAATTAACAAAGGTCAGGAAACCATTGTAACAATATATTCCTGAGACCAATTAAAGCAAAAAAGTATCATTTTTCTTCCGACAAATAGTTTGCAAGATATCGTAAGTTAATTATTAAAAAGATTATTCAACAACAAGTTTTCCTTAAATATCTCAAAAAATATCAGGCAAATAAAAAAATGTTTCAAACAAAAGTTATTAAAATTGGTTGGTAGATGAAGATGATATAATAACAAATTGGAGTTTCCATTTAAGAAAAGTAACGATCAGAGAATATCTCGAAAATAGCGCGATCTGAACAACAACATGATGTGGCTTTGTTTTATGTGCCCCCTTGAAACCATACAACTTTTGTCTGAAATATTATTCCCTAAAATGCTTAGTTTTCGAGATATTTCGCCGTCCCGGTACTTTTTATACACCCTGCATATAGTATATATATATAATTCTGTCTCATTTTTGGCATCTCCATTCTTCAACATGCCTTCATAAATATCTCTATTCTGATAACGATTTGTCTTTCTCACTCTCACTCTCAGTCTCTCTCTCTCTCTCTCTCTCTCTCTCTCTCTCTCTCTCTCTCTCTCTCTCTCTCTCTCTCTCTCTCTCTCTCTCGTTCTCTCGGTCGCGGGAAGAATGATATACGCTCCAACATTTATCTTACACGAAATTAATCTCTCGAGTCTAAGCTGCGGGTTTCGTATTTACAATGATACGCGTCCGCGTCGCGCAAAGTCGCGCAGCGCCACGTCGCGCGACCGCTAAATACCGTGTTATTATCGTAAGTCCCTTTGATTATAACGAAACGCCGCCGCCACGGCGATTATGTACAAAGTGATCCCCTAAACGACGACGCGTCTCTATGTCGAGCGAAACGGCCTCGCCCACACTCTTCTCGGCTTCCTCCCTTTATTCCTTTCTTCCTTTCTCTTTCTCTCCCCCTCGCTCTCCTTTTTCCGTCGTTCCTACCACCGCCGTTTTTGTCACACGAGCCCTGTTTTGTCTCTTTTCGTGTTCCCTCTCTTTCTCTCTCTCTCTCTCCCTCTCAGAGAGTTTTTCGAGGTATCTCGTTGGTAACGGTCGGTTAGTCTCGATCTCAGATTTATGAATTCCTCCCGCCGAGTCCCGCGCGATCCCGGAATTCGCCTCCCCTCGACGAGGATCGCCGGGCACGGGAAAGTGTTTTTGAGCAATTAGCGGGCGAAGATAATGAACTTCGCGTGAGCCACGTGAAATAAGTTCAACGGATGACAAAAGCCCGTATTTTTCCGCGAATTTCGGACGGACCGCGCCTCGACTCATTAACGGCGGGTTTTTCGAGCCGAGATTTTGTTGCGGAATAATCTCGGCATACGCGAATGACTCCGAAATAATTAAAATTAAAATATTAAAGCCGCGCACAACGCCAAATTGAAAGACGCCCCAAAGACACCGGAGTGACAGTTTGGCGGAGCTAATAAATAATAGTCTCGGTGTATCGAAAGTAGGACGAGCGATCTCTCTGTCTCTCGGTATCTATTTTTCAATCGGCCACAAAATCGACAAAGTGTCATCCGGTGGCATCGTTAAGTAATACGGAATTCATAATACGAAACGTACTCTCGACATTAACGACTTAAAGAGCGCCTCACGTGACGTTGACGCATTTGTCTGGTATTAATTAATTTTTGATGTGACACCGACCGATTCGATCAATTAGACCGAAAAAAGGGATTCGCTGTTGCGTCTGAAAGCCTCGTTAGTTCAGCGAATCTGTGTCCGTGATACACGGAGGGTAACTTTTTATGTTAAAATAATTAGATTTAATTTCAGAGCCGGATAAGAGATTGCTGATTACATCCAATAAATTTGCGTACTTTAGCCAGCACGACAGACTTGTCGGTGTAGAACAAAATTTAAGATATTCAACGAAATGTATTTTTTGATAATTCATCTTTTTGTCGTTGGATCAAAGGAAATTTGGCACTCTAGCAAAAATTCCATTACAGCGAATAGTTAGCTATTTCGACTGTAGAAGTTTTCTAAAGCGACGTTGTTCACAGTAGTGGAAATTGACGTTCTTAACGATAGAAAGTAGTTTTATACGTCGCTCTTGACTGATGTTGATATGTGCCGATTAATTACGACTAAATCGAACCAAAGATATTTCTTCATCGTCCAATGAATAAGCGCGGTACAATTTTCTCGGTGAAATTAACCAATATGTGCCGCAAACTTAAAGAATTTCGAAGAGGACGAGAAACAATTTTCTGCGATAATTAAGATAACATCTACAAAAATAAGTTTGTTTTACATTGGCAATCACTTTCGCACAATTTCTTGGCTACCCCAACAAATCTGCTGAATCGTGACATTCAATTTTGTACAATAAACTATACGTGGGGAAAGAAAATTATTGCAACGAATTCATCCATTCAATCATAGTTATTTTTACGATAAAATATACAAGTATTTTAAGATTATTTTACTTGTATTTTTCCAAATTTTAATATTAACATTTTAAGATAATCCAAGTCAATCCAAGTCAAATTAAGAACAGTGTTTTATTTATTATTAAATTCCATTGTCGCAAATCACGATCTTAATCTTACCAATTATAATGCAACAACAAAGTGGGATTTTTTAATAAAAATTGCTATAGAATTATACAACCAACGGACATATCGACATTCTGCTTCTTAATTATTCCATTTCGTACGTATCATTTATATTTTAGGAACTGAAGAGTCTACTACCAACAAAAATTTATATATTCTTCGGCAAAGAACTAGCTGCATTTTTCAGACAAATAAATTCTACTGACAGTCCATTCCTGCACTGCTAGAAAACATGAAGAAACTGGAAAGAATTTAAAAAACAGCTACACAGGAAGATGTTACTTTTATTCAATATTATTCCAAAAATGAAAAAGCTGTAATATTCCTTCTGTGTAGACTCGCCAAATGAAGCAATTCATTTCTTCCGTGCAACGTTCGACGCGGTTCCCGGCGCGCGAATTTAATGTCCCTCGAAAATACCCGCGACCGAAAAACCACTCGGGGTCGTTACTGTGCGGTTTCTCGCGGGAACGTGCTTGTTCACTAAACGAGTTCCCCTTTTTCTCTCTCTCTCTCTCTCTCTCTCTCTCTCTCTTCTGACAAGTGCACGAAATTTGTTCCCGCGGGTTCAAATTAGCGGCAGGACACGCTCCGCCGTGGCCAGCGCGACGGTTTTCGTGAGACGCTCGGCTCGCGCCGCTCCGTCGTCGCGAAACGACGAACTGGAAAGTTCATGTCCGACGTGTTATCGGGCGGCCGGCATAAAATATTACTGAAATCGGAACATCAATCTGCCGTCGGACGCGAGCCTTATTTACGGACCTGATAAAACACGCCGCGGTAGAAATAGAGACCCGCGGGGCCGGCCGGCCGGCCGGTCGTCGAGCGTGTCCTTTAAAATAGGTCGATCGCAGGACGAAACAGATGCGCGCGCATATCGCATCCTTTGCTCCCATTTGGGACGGTAAACTCTTCTTTCGCGAAGTCTCCCCCGTGGGAGAACGGCGACATTACGCGGCCGATATTGCGACGCGCGTACTCGCGAATGTTTTTCATTTCACGCGGCCGTACGGCGGAATTTGCGATGAATCCGCGGGGCGATTTTAGTTTCCACGGAGGAGCCGTTCCGTGATGGATGCGTATCGATCGTCATTTCAACGATAAGCCCGTCGGCCGAGCGAGCGAATTTGGAGCGGTATTAGTTTTTATCGACGAGTTTTCGGCCCGCGAATTACACGTATAATGAGATTCCCCGGGAGTACGGGAGTTTGAAGTGAACTTCATTCGAAGTCCGGCGAGATCATTTTCGCGCTGGCTCTTCGACCGAGTGTAATTAGTAAAATTAAGATCATATCTTACATAATAATTGAGTTAATGGCGAAACGAAGCGCGGTCTTTATCTTCTTAATTTGATGTGCATTTAATTGTCTTGTTGAAATTTTAATTTTTCGAAATTTAGACAAATATAGATAAAATTATTTTTCAGAACTTGTTTCTTTGCTGTAAAAGCAACTGTAAGCGAGTTGATAAAATCGTTATTCGCGATAATTTTCCAGGTGAAAGCTCAATTTTGATCGAGTGGCTTTAATTTCGGCGCAAGTTCTTCGCCGGAATACTTGCGATTGGTAAAATTAAAATCGTGATTTGTGATAATGGAATTTAATCACGGATTCATAAAACATTTTTCCTAATTTGACTTAGATTGAGAAATTGTTTGAAATGTTGATATTGAAATTTGGAAAAATACAAATAAAATAACCTTAAAACTCTTGTATTTTATTGTAAAAGTAACTATAATTGAATGGGTGAATTCGTTATTATTTACAATAATTTTCAAGTCGATACACGTTTAATTTAAATCGCATCCGGGGCGATCTCAATTTCAACCGTGCACGCATAAATCCTGCGGTCGAATAAGTATTGATTAAATTAACACCGTGAAAATTGAATTTGATAAATCAGGAAACACGATCCCTATTTTTCTTCATTTTCTTTTTCAGCTTCTACAATCAGCTTTTTCAAAAACTTCCGAAAACTCGAAACTTAAAAAAACAAATAAAGTCATAAAAATTTTAGATCGATGATGGCGCAAGGGTGATTGTAATCGAATTAATGAAACCGTAATCATCGACAATAATTCTCAAACTGGCGCGAGCTTGATTCTAACGGGAAATCCGGAGCGATTTCAATTTGAACGTCGGCTCTCCGGTTGAATAAGTAAAATTAATAAAACCATAATTTGCAATAACCGGATACCGCAATGAAACGAGATGCGATCCTATCTTCTTAATTTCACGCGCGTGTATCCACACATATACGCGCATATACACACATACAGACACACAGCCGTAAGAGCCAATTTAATCGAATCGACGGGGTCGTTTTACCTGCGACAACACTCGAGCGCTGAAGCGCGTCCCGTCCAAAAGTGTGGCACGTTGTGTCACCGAAATTTCCGAGGAGACCGAGTCTGCTGAGTCTCTCACGTCGAAAAGACAGCGAGAGGAAGACGCGAAAGGCTCGGGGAGGCCGGGTTGCGATTCGACGTGGAGCCGTAAACGTGTGACTCTCTCTCGAACTTTCGTCCTAGCCGCAGCGAGGTAGCGAGCGTTCGCACACTCCATCAGGCGTTCGGGACTGATCCTGCGGAGAACACACGTAACCGCTCCTGAGAAACATTCCTCTCTTCCATTCTTCCACATCCTTCCGTCCATCCCACGTAAGATTATCCCAGAGAAATGCTATTCCGGCGTGAAGCCACGAGGGAATGTGCGCTGTCGAGCGTGCCAACGCTCCGCTCCGCCGGCGCCGGCCAGGAGGCATCCTGGATACGCAGGAGCCACCGGGCCAAGATGACGCGTCCTTCGTCGTCCTCTGACGAACGCGACGCGTTCAGATGCACGCCTCGATGTGTACGTTGGTCATCTCGCTGTTGCGCAGCTGATTGTTGACGTGCAGCTCGGAGGACGCGTTGCTGTGGACGAGGTCCTGCTTGCGGTGCACCTGGCGGAGGTCGCGCACCGGGCCGATCGCGCGGCAGCAGCTCTCCAGAGTCTTGCGGAAGGCCGCGCGGAACTCGCGGTTGAAGTAGGCGTAGATGAGCGGGTTGAGCGCGCTGTTGAAGTAGCCAACCCAGAACACCACCGCCACCACCACATCGCCGCTCTCGCAAGAGTCGCACAACGCCGTGATGATGTACCTGTGACAAAGAAAGAAGCAGAGAGAGGGGGAGAAAAAGGGGGGAAATTAATCAGACGAACAAGCGATTGATTGATTGATTGATTGATTGATTGATTGGTTGCCGCTTTGTGCAATTTTGGAGATGCTGTTTCTTGAACGGTTGCGTTGGCGTCTAATAAATGGATTCGTAGAGCATAATCGTATCGACATCATTTACGGACGTAACATTATGTTAATTTGTTTAATGGACGGTTTCGTATAGAACGCAATTTGCTTACGCGAGGAGAATGTCTTGCAACTATCGGCAAATTCAATTGCGCGATAGGAAGAGAAAGAGAAAGAGAGAGAGAGAGAGAGAGAGAGAGAGAGAGAGAGAGAGTCGAGTAATTTAGGTGAAATATATGTATAATATAACCATGTATATTTTTTGAAATATGTGCGCATTGTACTAATATTTTATTGACAAAAGATATGAGAGAAAGAAAATTTGATTGTATCTGCAAAAATAGTGACGAATTAATCTTGTCAAAATTTTTAGATTTATTTTTGCACCTGGATTATTACTGAATTGCTGAATTATTGGCTATCTCTTCGATAATTAATAATTACTATGTTATGAATTTTCTTTGGGTTGATTTTTTTCAGGCTGAGATTTTATTAATAAAAGATAGGAAAGAAAGTTCGCTTATGTTTGAGGAGATAGTAATTGAAGCATCTCCTTTAATTTTTTCTTCATTTTCGTACTCTCGCGATATTACCTAACTACTAAATTATTAATTATTATCTTAGTAATTAATAGTTACCACATTGTGTGAGTTATCTTTTATGACTGAATATTTTAAATTAAATAGTAATCCTGATTTTTTACATAATTCTTTACTTTTACATAATTCTTTATTATTCTTGTACATTGGTCTTCAATATCTCGTAGTAATTTTTTCATTAAAATTTTATATAAAAATATATATGGAAAAATAGCATGGAAATTAAAATAAAAAATAAAACGCTAGTCTCAATGTAGTACAAAAGATGTCGACTTTAATCATAAATATTTCAACTTTCCATCGATATTTCGCTTAACTACGCAAGTATTTAAATAACATTTCACAATTGATATGTGGTCTAAATTAATTAAAGTACAGTTCCAATTGTAATTTCACCAAACGTCTAACTTAAGTTGATGCTCAGAAAGAACGCAATCTTCTAAAGTTTTTTTTAAGTTTCATAATGAAATAATTACCTTAGCACGAAGTAATATGCGATGCCTTTATAATAATTCTTTTACAAAATAAAATAAAGTCTTCTGTGATCGACGACTGGAACGTTTGACTCACGAAAGCGGGAGACACAAGGATTCTTTTTTACGCAAACTGAGTTACTCTTTACCAATTATCGCTCACAGAATGTGATTATACTTGAAATTTCTCGAAAGAATGCTCTCGTATAGATCAAAGGTAACACGTCGTGTGATTTTCCTCAGACGTAGGAAGATTCGGTGAGAATACGGAAATTCGAGACGGAGGGAGTTTTACTCTTATCCGCGCTCTTACCCTACTTGTCTGAGAGAGAAAGAGAGTCTCGGTGTGATTAAAGTATCTTATTTTATCGTAAATATTCGCCTCTTACTAGTTCTCATCTTGCTCTCGTTGAAATATATATTTCACTTTAAGAAATTAATCTTTCTCTCGTTTTATCCTAACCTTTGGGGATTTTGTCTGCTTGAAGAATTTCAAGTCTCCCGAAACAACGTTGTCTTCCGTAACATTGTCCAGCAGCCAAGAAGTTAAAGTTGTAGAGGATGTAATACGTATAACTAATTTTTCACTCGGGCAATTAGTCCGACAATTAGCGGAATCATCTGCATTATTCGTGCGAGTAATGTTCAGTACTCCGCGAGAATAAGGACGGAAACGTACGAACTCGGTTCTATTGTGCGCCGCCGCTCGGAGATGTTTCATACGTTTCACTTTTAGCGAGGAGTGTATCGCAAAATTCGAGTTGAGATGAAACTTTCCGGGCCGATCTTAACTGGAGAAAACTAGAGAGGAACGTCATCGTATCGCTTTCGGTGGTTAAATGCAAACAGTGCGAACAATGAGCAACGCGATAATAAGCATCTAAAGGTATAACAATCGACTTATCGCACATGTGTGTCGCGCAGACATGCGTCCGATCGAATTACTGAAGAGATCTGAATTGAGTTGGGAATGGTTTTGTGTACTTTCTCTTCCGCGACAACAAACGCAGAACATATTCATTAAACGGTATTTGCATGGAGAAAGTTATGCTATATTTGAGGGAAGACCGGTGCGCATAAATAAAAACTGTAAACAGAGAAGAATAGCCCGCGGTATAGCTGGAATGACAGTAGCGACGAATAGTTCATTCTCGATACATAATTCAATATACTAGACTGCGAAACTTGCTAGCGATATATCTCGGAAACTACATGCGACCGTATATGCAAGTCACTCGTAAGTGATATCACTTGCAAGCGATGTGTCTCGGAAACTACACACAGTTGTAAAAGTAGAGATTACTCAGGACTCCATTCTTTACAACTTGTGTTTTAAAATTAAAGAAATTCGAAGTGCGCAACCTGCCCTGTGATGATTCCTACATTTATCCCACGTAATCGCTAAATTGATTTCTTCGCAATCGACTATCCACGTTATTGGCTCTTATTTGATTTGTGTTTCTCGCGGTATCACACGTGATATATATAATATATCTATATCGCAAAGAGAGCCCGTCTTAATCACACTGATTTTAACAATAAAGTCTATCTTAATCTCTTGATTAATATTAAATTAATATTATATTTCTTGATATATTATAATATTGTATTATATTATTTCTTAATTTTATTTATTAATATTATACTTCTTTAATACTCGCGAAAGATGTTTCGGTGTACTACAATGAATATTCGAGGTCGGTATAATTAAATGTCTCGAGACCGTCTGGATTAACAAATATCTTGAATAGACTCGGAGAAATGTGTAAAATCGCGCGCAGAATGCGACGACTCCGTAAGGGATTGTATGCGAGACGCGAAAAGGTGGAAACTGGAAGCGTCCCTCTTGTTCGCGCCGTGACCTACATGCACCTGACGTCGAAATTGTTTCCATCGACAAGGGAAGAATAGATTTACGGGCTTCCAAAGGGGAGTGGATTCACCCACGACATCTTCCTCTTCTGCTTCGTCTCTGCGGATCTACGCGCCGCGCCACGTTGTTGTTGTACGATTTCCCACTTTCCTGGTGCCATTATCGAGACTCGATTCAAACGGACAGACAAAAGCAGTGGAAAGAAGAAACGACAATTGAGTCGCTAGGCGTTAAAACCGTGTGATCCCGCAAGAGCAAGTTTCCCGAAAATTAAAGGAGAAGCCGTTTCTCCCGGAAACGGCAGGAAATAATTAGATTTTTCATATGAATCGCGCGTTAATTCGCAGAGAAAGAAAACGAGCGAGTGAGTGAGTGAGTAGCGTTTATCATTGTCCCGGGGCAGTGGTTCTCAACTTCGTCAGTCCGCGACGCACTGTAGAACGTGCAAAAATATGCACAATGTATATTTTCGAATGCACACTTTGTGCGTCAAATTTGAAATAGCTGTAAACCTCTCTCTATTTTTGTTAATTATATTACTTATATATTTGACAATTTAATATATTCTTATAATTATATTCTTGTATTATAATGGATTGGTTGATCACAGAGAGAGAGAGAGAGAGAGATATATATATATATATATATGATGAATCTCTATAGAAATAAATCATTTCTCTCATAAAGAAAAAGATATACTTTTGTAATATTCACGGCACACTTTGTCAGTGTGCCGTGACGCACCGTTTGAAAATTACTGCCTAGATGTATTCTCTCTCTCTCTCTCTCTCTCTCTCTTTAAGGACATACAATAATTACAGAAATTGCGCTCAATTGATCGCGCAGTATAAATCTCGTGGTCAAGGTACCGTTTCACCGGACTCGCCAATAATTGAAAATGCAATTAAAACATGGATCAATGTTGAACGAGAAAAATCGCAATCTCTCTGCTTTTCAAGCGTCCAAAGTTGAAACTGAGATATCGCGGAAAGGGTAAGCACGTATAATCTGAATTTAAATAAGAAGCTACAAACATGAAGGAGCCAGATCAGAGTGAAGCGACGAGAACGGGGGAGAGAGAGAGAGAGAGAGAGAGAGAGAGAGAGAGAGAGGAGGGGGAAGAAATACACGGAAAACACAAAGAATTGAATATTTCCTCAAAACCTTATCGAACTCTCCATTCGACGGTTCATTCAACTTGCGTGACTTTATGCCCGTCGAGATCAAAATACTTTCATAACGCAGCTGGCAGCTACGAGCGTCTGCGGTATTCTTGTTCTTCTTTCTCTCTTTCAGAGAAATTAAACTCATCAAAGTCCAAAATATTCCACTTTCAACGTCGATATGCGAATGAAGTCCACACGTCGCGTCGATCCGTCGTTCGTATCAACGCTGTGCCGCGATTTATACACACCGATCGATCGCCTATCGATCGCACTCGCCCGCACCCCGGCGCACGAAAAATCCGCCTGAATAAATAAACAGAGGGTGGGGACGAGATGCAAGGGGGGCGACCGGGGCGGAGGAGGGAGGGGTGAAGCTATCATACAGAGCACGTGTTGTTGCATAAGAAGCGGGCAAGAAATCGAGTATCGATCTGTGACGGCGGAGTTATACGTTATTCACCATCGCCATTGCCGCTGCCGTTGTTGGGGAACGAACGGGACGCGCGGATGAAAGTTTTACAGGAATTGAACGGCGGCGTCGTGCGAACGCGTGCTCGCGAGACGGTCAATGAGAAACGACGTCGCGATGTTTGCCCGGCGTGTAAAGAACTTCTGACCCATTCACGTACGAAGAGAGAGAGAGAGAGAGAGAGAGAGAGAGCGACAGGCAGGGAGAGAGAAAAAGAGCAGGTTGACCTTAACCGGCGCCGGTTTCTATTCTTAGCCACGCCTCGGCTTATGCA